CGTGGTATAGAAATCCAATTATAATCACGAGTTTTATAACCCGTTGTGAATTAATTTTGGGCATAATTTGATATTTATTAAACATTTTTTTGTGATGTTTGTGTGAGTGAGACAATGACTGAGTGCTATGACTACCAACATTGTTGATAACTTTTATTTATATATTGTAAGTTGAGTTTATACGGCCGGCTATGTAAGTGAGTGGTACAGTTAGCACAGCACCACGTTCTCAATTTAGATCACTTCTTGCCTCAAACAATATATACACTGTGTACATCACTTATGGTTATAATCAATAAATATTAATTAGTTTTCATCATTAAATGAATGTTTAATTAGTCGTGTGATGTTTGTGTCTGTGTGTGCCGTATATGAAGTTTAATACTGATCTCAAGTGTGAATTATGTGGGCACTGGGGCTCCCGATCGCCGTTTTAATACTATTATAGTAACTTTCTTATTAACATTTTTATAATTTAACATTAATCTAAATTTTTATTGTAATTATTTTATATATACAAAAGGTTTTCAGTCGTTTTTGGGTAGAATTCAAATGGTAATAACTTTTAGACTACATAACATAGATCAACGTTTAGTAGATCAAAATAAACCTTATTTATTCTACTTTTAATTTGATATTTAAAAGTTTAAAATAATTTGATTAAAATTTAATTAAAACCTTTATGTTATAATGTCTGCAAAAATATATCATATTTATCAATTTTATACAATTAATCTACTGTAATTCTATTTTAAATCTATTTAATTAAGCTAAAACAAGTTATTTAGATGGAGATAAGAATTTTGTAATCTATAAATAATTAATATAAAAAATTTTTAAAATGAGAAAAAATTTCCATTTTTGTCATTTTAATCTAAAATTTTGTATTAATTTATAAAATTATAAAAATGCTATTAAAATTTTATAATAGATAAATTTATATCAAGATAACTTTAATCAAACAAATTAAAATAGAATTAAAGTAGATAAATTGTATAAAATTAATAAATATAATTAACGATTATTAAGTGATTATTATGTGATAATTATTGTAATTATTGATATATTTTAACAAATATATTGAGTGCTAAATTCAAAAATGAAAGCAATAATACCTACAGCATAACAAAACAAAACAAATTGATACAGGGTTACAAATAACTCATGGACTAGCGGTTCATATACAGGTGTGGGCAAAGCGTAATAATCGCTCATTTCACCACCATCATCTAGAAGCGTGGCGTTGATTATACGAAAAATGATGTTGGTCCAATATTTGACACCTTGACCTTGCCAATGGCTTATAAACGAGTGCTCTAAATAGCGTCGGGAACTTTTAAATTGATAAATAAAAATTTATAACAAATCATCATGTGCATAATTAAAAATATTTTACATTTTCTCCGCATGGTCAACATAGTGGTAAAAGTATGGCGCGTGACATACGAGCGACATAAATGTCTGCACATTGGGTTCGCCCAAATGACAGGTCAGTACACGGTTAAGTAAATCCAGTGCCTGATTAATATTAAAATTCTTATAAACGATTACGATGTTTTTTAATGTCTTAATCGCGCCATGTTCCTTTACATCGGTCAATAGGGTTAACAAGTTGTTCGGATCTTCCAGCGGTCGAGTGCGTGCCAACACGTTTAATAGCTTATGTTGAAAATCACGGTCGAATAGCTGATAAACGGCCGGAGTAGCTAGTTGAGTTCGCTCGTACACATTCATGTAAATTATATACCTGGTGTCCATCAGATCGTCAATCTTGTCCACGTGTCTAACATCACGACTGCTCATATGGGCTGTTAACTCGTTTTGCACGATATAAACTAGCGGGGTAACGCAAAATAGCCAGGTAATATAAATACTATTCAACCGTGAGTGATTTGTTTCGCCTATTAGTAATAATGGTTTGCAATATATCCATAGGTTTGTTAATATCGATCGCTTATTACCAACCAATCGATCCGCGCATACAGTCGTGATAAATGCCAATACGATTAATAGCCATATGTTTGCCGGGTATACGCGCCAAATGTCCATGATCGCCAAATAAGGTTGGTACGAGTTAAAACTGAGATAGTTCATTTTGTGTCCGATGTACAATGGTCGGATGCAATTAAGCGATTGGTTCTCGGTGATCCAGGTGTAATCGTATTCAACCATATGAGTTAAAGTTGTGGCCACTCCTTCCCTCACCATTGTATACCATGTGTAGTTTTTACTCTCGTCGTTAGGACAGTCAAATACAAGTAGATGTACGCTGTTACGGGGTTTAAATTTTTATCAGGGTTATAACAGGATTAATTAATTTATTTATATTTAATATTTGTTATAAATGCTCATGATATAAATTCTTATTACCTTTTGTTTACTTGTTTACCAATGTCCAATAAAAGTAGAACTGGTATTGAATAGAAATAACCTGATTCCCCATCGCGATCTAGGAACTTTATTTAAAAATTGGATTGAATTATGATTTATCAATAATATATTAATTATAAATCTATCATAAGACTTTTTAATCACTGTTCCATCATCTTTAATTTTAATTTAAAACACAATCACATAAACTATTTTACTAATGATATAAAAAATACCAAAACATCATAAATCTAAATCTAGAAATTCACCTCTTCCTGGAACGCCATTACATGAAATGCATCATGATCAAGCTTTTTAACTTGGTCAATTTCCCAATATTCTCCACATTTAATACGTGTCATGTTAACTTTATTGACGAATTTATGCCATACGCCCAACGTATGGGATTCAACAAATTGAACTGGTTCACCAATTCTAACGATTAGATCTTTATAATCCATAATAATTAGCTTAATTCTATTAGGATTAATTATTTTGCACCAAATAATATTGCGTATTTTGTAGATATTAACTAATGTAGTACAAAATGTATAATCTATTATTGGATAATACAATTTTCTGTTATGTTTACAAATAAGTAATATTATTTAATATAATAAATGCAAATTAATATTATATGAAATTAATATCATAATAAAGGCGTAAACATTATTTTCTAAATTAAATTCAATAAATAACAACAAATAAAACACAAGTAAACTAATAATACTGGAATATTATTTTAATTATAAAACTAAAATAATGCAATAAGTTTTTTTTGATTACTTACTTTCGTTAATGAAATTATTACATCACATATTTAATTTAAAAGGAAGGTTATAATAATTTTTACATGAGTAATATAAACGTTTTATTAATTCCTTCGTAAACAAGTTTTATGTTAAAAATCTACTTAATTAACAATTTATAAATTTTAATATTAAAAATTAATCATATCAATAATTAATTTAAATTGTTTGTTTAATAGTACTTTAATCAATTTATAAAATAATAAAATCATGTAAATTTTTATTAATAAATTTGCAATATTTAAAAAAAATTGACGTAAATTTATATAATATTCTCAACAGATTTTTCATTATCTTTAAAACTCTTTACAGCCGTTTATTCTCCACTTTCAGTGATAGAGAATATTCTCTAAATTCTGCCACAAATGACCAAAAATACCAGCCATTCCGAGAACGCGGACACCAGGTGTAGAGAATATCCCGGTTGAGTATTGATCCAATATTGATCCAACATTATATTAACAATGTTATCAAAATTACCATGATCTGCATTGACCACCATGATTGCAGACCATATTAAAGTTACAACAGTTATTATAAAGGTGAATTGCGTTGCGATTGCCAGATATCGCAGCAATTTGGCTCGGGAATTGTGCGATTGAACATGCGCTTTCTTTGATTGAAGGTCCATATCGAGTAAGATTGGCATAAATAATAAGCTAGCTCCAATCTGATGACATACGAACACAATTGGGCCTTCGGATGTGCAAAAACATCCAGCAATAATATAGCCAAGTCCGCTGATCATGGTCATTATTAGCGATCGTTTGTTTAATTGTTTTAGTTTATCTAGATCGCAATTAATAGGATTATTATTGTTATTATTGAAAGCATTGTTTGATTGTATGTATGATTTGATGGCCGCGTGTCTTATGATAGCGAATGCAAACATAAACACCCCTTCAATAGTCAAGCAAAGTGTGAATATATTGGCTTCCGGTGATATTCCACCCAGGTCACTGATGTATTGCATGAATGTCACACTACGACCATGGTACACTGATGAAGCCCAACTTTGTAATTTAGATTAATTTTTGTATTTAATAAAAGCAGATGATACAATATACAATATATGTATTAAATGTAGAGTGATAAAATAAATACAATTATTACGTTATTGTTATACTGTAACGTTATATCCTTGATAACTAGATAACTAAATGCCTATATAATAATTGTATCTACAATTAACAATTAATAATTGTTAATTAAAGTATGTTTGTATTTAACTAAAATATTTTTACGTAAATGTTTAACTAACAATTTTGTCATAATCCAAAACAAATACAACAATCATAATTAAATTAATATAATTACATATATTTATTAATAAATTTTAAAACATAATATATTTTAGTAAATACTTACATTATATACGGAAATACCAAATTATTTAATGCCATAAAAATAGGGATATAATTTAATGTAATTTATAATACATTTTTAAATTAAAATGAATTTTACTTTTAATTCTATTGATTTACTATTGAGTGATATAAATTGCAATTGAATTATACAAATATTTATTGCTAATAAAATGCATAGAAATAAAAAATTATAATTATATAGATGAATATAGTTTGGTGAAGTCTATCATGTTTTTTAAATAAAATTATTAAATAATTAAATATTTGTTGAATTAGCATAATAAAAATAATTGTGTGCAGTAATTAAATTTAATGAATGATTTAATGATTAAATATCAAACATAATAAGTAGTTAAAAAAAATACATCCAAATTTATATAATCTAATAGTTTTAAAATATATTTTAAATGAACAGTACATTTGTGCTATCACCTATTTCACACCATCATCAAACTCAAACAATTGAGATCACTTTTGTGCCCATATTGAATGATAAGGAATATTCTTTAAATTCTGCCACAAATGACAAAATATAGGGACAAATGAGCAGAACTAATATCAGTTCAGCGTATGCCGACACAACGTGCTGAATATAACCAGGCATAGCTCTTGTCCAATTCATTCTGGTCTCAATTTTAATTATCTCGCCCAAATTAGCATATGCCAAAAACGACCATAGTCCCGATATCATAACAACGAGAAGTACCAAGGTGCTCACGATTGCCAGTGATCGCCGGAATCGCCCCAAACTATTACGTGACTGCATAAATGCTATCCCGCTTTGAAGTCCCATATCGAGTATTGTTAATGAAAATAGATTAAACGCACTTATATTGTGGATTATCACCACGATTAGTGCCTCGGATGTACGAAAACTACTTGTTAATAATGTTGCCACGCCGACCATCATGCTGGTTATTAGTGACCATTTATTTAATTGTCCAAGTTTGCTTATATCGCAATTCGGGTTACTATTATTATTAAGATTATTATTTGATTGAATGTATGATTTGATGATCGCGTGTCTTATGATACTAAATGCAAATATTAACACTCCTTGGATAGCCATACACAGAGTAAATATGTTTGCTTCGGGTGAAATGGCACCTAGATCGCTGACGTATTGCATTAAGGCTACACTGTGGCCATTGTACACTGATAAACCCCATCTATGTTAAATAATAATTTAATTGAATTTAATTTTAAATATTTTTAAAAATGTTTAGTAAAATCTATTTTATAAATTTTCATAATGGTAATTAAATAAATTATATATTTATTAAATTTCATTGTTAATTACAAAATTATTTTTATATATAACTTAAAATTTTAGTAATAATAACTATAATTTAGAGATTTTAAGAAATTAGAAAAATATAAATATTACTTACATCAAAAATGGGAATAACGTGGTATTGAATACCATAATAATTAACACATAATGTAAATTACGGTACATTTCAGTAAAATAATTTATAAAAATATTGATTGTAACAAATTATAACAACTAAGTTCAAGTACAAATAAATTTAAGTAAAGTAAATTTAAGTAAACTTTATATTGATAATATTGATAACTTGAAAATTCACTTACTCTAGCTACTGTATACAATACGATGAACTTCATAATAAAATACCAGTTTGGGTAGAAGAAAGTGTGATGGTCAAGGTTGTCTAGTTTATAAATATAGTTTTTAGATTTTAAAATTTCAAGTTTTTATTAGCAATTAAAATAATTATAAAATCTGTCGCAAATATTTATAGCATTACATAGTTGTTTTTGCAATCCAACTTGTAAGGTACTTATAAAATATTAACCTCATCACATCAAATGTAATTTATTAATTTAATGTCTTAATGTAAACATGTTAATAACAATCCATCTATGTATTTTTATTTATATTTATTGCATGATGCATTATTTATCATAAGTAATTTAATATAATAAACAATCTTATGTCATTATTTATTGTATTAATAGCGACAATATTGAAATATTTTGTACATTGTAATTATCATATTATAATAAACATTATAAATTCAATATAATAATATAGAATAGTGTACTGTACAAAATAAATTGCAAGTTTTCTATTTTAAAAATTGAAAGGCATATTAAAATATAACATAAAACTAACAATAATTACAAACATATAAGGATAATATAAAATAAACAATTATTATTTACACAATTGAGTCCACTTTTTTACCCACTTTTAATGATAGGGAATATTCTTTAAATTCTGCCACAAATGAGTAGTAATAGGGACAAAACGAAAGAATTACCAGCCATTCGCAGAATGCTGAAATCATGTGGGTAATATAACCTGGTTGAGTACTTAACCAATTCACCCTGTACTCAATTATATTATACTTTTCAAAATTACCCATCTCTATTGCCGAAATTACACCTGTAATTAAGGTAATGGCAAACAAACACGCGTCTACTATTGCCAGATATCGCCGGAATCTCCCGCAACTTTCCCGTGACTGAGCAAACGCCACCTTACTTTGTAGGCCCATATCGAGCATTGTTAATAAAAATATAGGCGTAGCGCCCATACCATGCATTGCAAATATTATTAAGCCCTCTGATGTGCGAAAACTGCCGGTTACTATAATGCCCAGGCCAGAAATCATGGTGATTATTGTCGACCATTTATTTAATTGTTTCACTTTATTTGTATCGCATTTTGGATCAGTATTGTTGTTGAGATTATTGTTTGACTGTATGTATGATTTGATGATCGAGTATCTTATGATAGCAAATGCAAACACAAACACCCCTTCAATAGCCATACATAGTGTGAATATATTGGCTTCGGGTGAAATGGCACCCAAATCGCTCACGTATTGCATTATGGCCACACTATGACCATGGTACACTGATAAACCCCATCTAGAAATTTTTAATTAAATAATTAATTTTATTAGTTAAAGTTGATTTAATATTTTTTTAAATAAATAATTGCTTTATTTTATTTTAAGTTTTTTTAAATAATAGTTTTATAATTGCAACTTATGAATTATTTAAAATATATAACTCTTATCTTGTTTTATAATTTCCTATTATTAACACTAATAATAATACGTATGAATAATTTAAAAATTGTTATTAAAATTCATAAATGTAAAATAAATATAATTATACTTACATTAAGAATGGGAATATCAGAAGATTGATAACCAGAATGTTTGGGATGTAATGCAATTTACGATACATTTTATTATTATTTTGATTGTTTTATGAAAAATTAAAAATATAATTTATTTATTATGATGAATTATTTTAATTACTGTTTTATAACCATAAAATACAATATAAGTTATCGCATTATGAACTGCATAATAATAGATTTAACATTTAATACACTAATTTATAATGATATTTCATACAAAATTATGAAGGTTTTCTAGTTTTGCCACTATTTAAAGATTTAATTTCGATTAAATAAACTTGTTGATTTTTAATTTAATTTAAAAATATGGTTTTATGGCAAGAGGAATTTTTAATATAAACATGCAAAATAATTTTATTATAACTTAAGATAATTACTTAATATAGTTATAAAAACTATTTCATAATCATTAATATGAGTTGACGACTAAACATGTAAGTAATAAAAATTAAGTTTATTCAAAAAAAATTATCAATTTTAAATGTACTCTGTAAATGCACTTATTTTCAAACAAATATTTTGCTATAAGCACAAATAATTCAAGGTTTTCATCCAAGGTAAACTATTTAAGAATTTATTATAATATTTAGTACTGTGTAATACAATTGGCATTGGTGATCCCGGATTTGAACTTGATGGGATTACGCAAAAAATTTATATTAAAAGCCAGATGATTATTATTTTATTGCTAATGTTTTAAGTAAACTGTAATTAATATAATAAATATATTTTTTATTAACTTCCTAAATTGTTCTTGTTAAATAATGGATTTTATGATTACAACATACTTTATAAAAAACATTCTATTACTTATATAATTTTTATACAGAATAATAGGCACTAAAATAAATAATTTATAGTTAAACAACTAAATTAAAATTATTTGAAACATACTGGTTAATAGTATTTTATTTTATTTAGTGTCTCATAAATAGGTGAAAATTTAATTATAACTATTTAGTAAAACAAACTGTAATTAATATTTTTACTGTTATTTTTGTTAAATATACTAATCGGTTGCAAAGTAATATTGGTACTAGTTACTCAAAAGTTTAATTTTTGTTTGTTATAGTTAAATAATAAATATATTATTACTGTAACATTAGTTAATTATTATAATTATATTATAATTAGATTTAAATCGTTAAACTCTGATTTAAACTATTATTATATTTGTAACTCAATATCTGTGCCTTATTATGAAATAAATTATTTCCATGTAAGTATTTCTAACAAGAGCTAATTAAAATTTTAGCATAGATATAAAATATGTTAATTATTGCTAATGGTTATTTATAATAAATGCAGTTTAATAATTTTAATGTTATTTTATAAATGTTAAATTTTTATAAAAATGCAATTTAATATAAGTAATATTTTATAAAAAGCAACCTTTAATGAATTACAAAAAGTTAATACATTTATTGCATTTTTTATATTACTGGTTAAGTAAAATTATTGAATATTAATTTATATTTGATAAAAAGTTGTCTCAAATACTTCTTGGTAAATAAGAATTTAAAAATAAGATAAAGATTATATAGGTGGCAATTGTGACCGACTTTTTACCACATTTATCGATAGAGAATATTCTTTAAATTCTGTGACAAATGTACAAAAATAGAGACACAAACTCCAGAATACGAGCCATTCCGTGAACGCGGACACCAAGTGTTGAATATAACCAGGTTGAGCGCTCGTCCAATTGACCCTGGTCTCAACGTTGATAAAGTGGCTCAAATTGCCCATTTCATACGTGGACCATAAGCCAGTTGCGAGTGCGATGGTAGACAAGAAACATGATACAATTGCCAGGTAGTGCCGGAATCTCCCGTAACCATAGCGGGACTGTGCAAACGCTATCTGACTTTGAAGTATCATATCTAGTAATAGTAATGGAAATGCGATGGCAACACCCAAACAGTGCATTGAAAACACAAAAACACCGTCGGTGAAACGAAAACTGGCCGCTATTATTGTGCCACACCCGCCGATTATGGTAATAATTAGTCACCATTTATTTAATTGTTTCAATTTATTTGTATCGCATTTTGGGTCAGTATTGTTGTTGAGATTATTGTTTGACTGTATGTATGATTTAATGGCTGCGTGTCTTATGATAGCGAATGCAAGTAAGAGTACGGATTCAATAGACATACATAGTGTGAATATACTTGCTTCGGGTGAAATGGCACCAAAATCGCTTACGTATTGCATTATGGCCACACTATTACCATGGTACACTGATAGACCCCATCTATGTATTTTTAATTGTAAAATTATTATTATTAAGATTGTTATTATATTTTTTATCAATATTTTATGAAGTTTTAAATGTATTATGTATTATGCAATGCTATTGAATAATCATGCTGCATTCATAATTTAAAAATTGTTATAAATTCAGAAATGTAAAATAAATACTTACATAACAAATGGAAATATGAATAGATTCAGTACCATAGTAATTGGAATATAATATAGATTAAAGTGCATTTTATTATTATTAAAGTTGTTCAATTTTCGATAAAGTTAAATAATTTTTAAAATTGTTTTAAATATCTCAAATTAGCCGTTTTATAATTTTCACTATAATGAATTTTACTAGCTTATGTTTTAAATATTTACTAGATAATTATGAAGGATTACCAGTTTTTTCTATGTTAAATATTGATTACAATTAAAATAAATTTATTAATAATTACCATTTTGTTTGGATTTTAAATTATAATTTTATTACTTTTTTGAATATTTATTGCACAAATATAAATGATGTTGTTTTTATAACTATACAGTATATACTCAATGAATATAAAAGTATAATATATATAGAATTTAAGTTACTTACAAAAATAAACATTCAAAATTATCATTAAAGCAATAAATTACCGTATTACTAATAATTTAAAATAAAATTATTTTGTTATCATTTTTGTCTATTTTTTACATTTATAGACAGAGAATATTCTTTAAATTCTGTAATAAATGAGTAGAAATGGAGACATAAACACAAGAGTAGTACCCATTCGGATAGGGCGGACACCAAGTGCTGAATATAGCCCGGTTGAGTGCTCGCCCAATTGACCCTGGTCTCAACTTTGATATACTCGCTCATAGAGCCCATTTCCATCGCAGACCAAACACCGGTTGCTATTGTAATAATGGACATAAACGCGGACACCATTGCCAGGTATTTCCGGAATCTCCCGCATAAATTGCGGGATTGAGCAAACGCTATCTTGCCCTGTAGGCTCATATCTAGTGTTAGTGCACCTAGGGCAATTGCTGAACCCAAAAAATGCATTAAAAACACAAACAATCCCTCGGATGTGCGAAAACTGGCGGTTAATAATGTGCCAAAACCAGCAATTAGGCCAGTAATTAGTGAACATTTATTTATATATCCTAGTTTGTTTATATCACATTTTGGTTTGTTGTTAGTTCCATAGGATTGTATGTATGATTTGATGGCCGCGTGTCTTATGATGATAAGTGCAAACAAAAGTACTGTTTCCGTAGACATGCATAGTGTGAAAATATTAGCTTCCGGTGCGATGGCACCCAAGTCGCTGATGTATTGCATGAATGCCACACTATGTCCATGGTACACTGATAAACCCCAGCTAGTTTATTATGATCAAGTTTAATGATTTTTAAAAATTAAATAATAATTAGTATGGTATTTATTTAAATACTTTTGTACTTAATAAATTAAAATAAAATACTTACATTATAAATGGATATATCGATAGATTTAAAACCATAATTATTGGAATGTAATGTAAATTAAAATGCATTTTTTTAAATTTCACAATATGATTTTATAAAATTTATAAAATACTGTAATTGAACTAAATAAAATCAAATAAAATTAGCGTAAATTTAATTTAATTTTATGTATAACAAACTGTTAAACTAGTTTAATAAGTTTTCATTGTAAACAATATTAAATTAATGTACTGTACCGTACGTTGTGAAACGCTAATATCAATGATAATCTATCATGTGTTATATTAAAATACTATTTATAAAAACTATATTTATATTAAAATAATTATGAATTTATCTTAAGAGTAGATATTTAAGTTTAAAATTTTGACATTATAAATGTATTAGGATAAACTAAATGAATAATTAAATTTTATATATTTAGTTAATTAATTTATAATAATTTTTATAACAATAATATGAATATAATAGCAAGTTTGCTAAATAATATAAGGAAAAACCTAATATAAAAATATGTATTTATTATATAATATTAGCACAACTAAAATTATACCGGAATTGCATTTATCATGAGGGTGGATAAACTATAATTTTTTCACTAAATAAAACTATAAATAAAATTATCTCATTATTATATAAACAAATGTCAGTTTATATCATGTATGAGAATAAGCTATACTTTACTTGTTTATCAACGTATAATCTTTAATATGTATTATTGATTATTTCATATTCATTTGATAAGACAAATAATTTAATACAATAATTAAGCATTATAAAATTACAAAAATTAATCTTTCAATTAAAATAGTATTTATTTAAAGTTATGATTAGAAAATAAGAATATATTATAATAATTTTTTTAAAATCTTACAGATAGTACATTTGGTATTTTTTAATCACAATTTAAATAGATAATGTAGTTAATGGATTTGCGAAATCTCCCTCACTAACAATTTTAGTTTATCTAAATTTTATATATAATGTTAGTTATATCTCTTATATGTATATGATATCACTTTTAATAATTACAGTACTTTTATATTACAATTATTATATGTTCAGAATTAAAAAATTAGTGTTTAAAGTTCAAATAATTATAACTCGTTTAAATTCTTATACACTATTATAGTAGAGGAATATTCTTTAAATTCCCAAACAAAGGACCAAACATAAGGGCAAACGAGCATAATTAACACCCATTCAACCATGGCCGAAATCACGTGCGGAATATAACCTGGATCATCGCTTGACAAATTTACCATCGTATCAATACTTACACTTTTAGTAAAATCTGTTAATTCCAATGCTGACC